GGAGGAAACATGGACATTATATATATATATATATATATATATATATATAGATGCTAGCTTTCAACAAAATTGATGGTTATCAATTGTTCAACAGGAAATCACAAGTAGTTGAACAATCATTAGAAAAACTATCAAAATCCAGTCTTTAAACACAGACATGTTTGGTACACTATATAAGCACTCCGTATTGTATTATTAAAGAATAATACAATGTTTGGCACCATTTCATATATTGTATAATTTAATAAGAAATTCAAATTTAATACAATACATAGTGTGATATCTAATACGGATAAAAACCTATGTATTAGATCGTATTATGCAATTTAACTTTATAAGACATATAAAATATTTTAAAAATATCAAGAGTTGGGATCGGATTTTGGGACCAATGCTGAGGTTAAATTTCAAGATCGAAGCAATGTTGAGTCTATATTTTTCAAAAATTACACTTTGACCCCTCAATTGTTAAAAAATGATATTTTGACCCCCCGCCCCAATTTTTTTAAAATTATATTTTGACCCCTTACTTTTTCAAAATTATATTTTGATCCGAAAATTTTTCAAAATTATTATTTTACCCCTCAATTTTTAAAAAATTACAATTTGATCCCATTTTCAAAATTTTTTTACAAAAATAACACTGTTGAACAACTCTACCTTCTTCGTTGCCCGCTCCTAATGCTGGATTTGGATCGAGATTTTAGTTGAGTTATGTTATGATTAGACTTAAATTTTATCCGATTACAAACTAAAACGTAAACGCAATATGATGATAAAACATATAATGTAATTTACTACAAACCAAACACCGCAAATGCAATATGATGATAAAACATATGATAGAATAGAATAGAATAGAATACAATACAATACGGTGCACTAAACGTGTCCTAAGTCCATACAATAATACAAACAAGTCTTTGAACATTTTAATACAAAATTAATAGAAAGATTAATGATGCAACTTAAGCTACTTAGAAGAGACAAGTTTGAAAGACATGACAACTTTCAGAATTATAGCAATGAAATAACACATTCAATCTTATATAAAAAAATAATAATAATAATAATAACAAAAACAGACTGATGTTCCATCAAACTTAACAAACAGGATCTAAATATCAATAAAACAACAAAAGCTTCTAAAACAAATCTACACCAAGTTACATCACATCAAAAAGCAATATTTCTAAAAGCATAACAAATCGTAAATAAAGACAAGCAGAGAGTGACGTAGTTTATATTGGGATAGTTCACCTCAAATCCTCAGAGGCTTCAGTAAGGCTTTTGGTTAAAGTTTCAACCTCTTTAAGCAGACCACTATCCCGAACCTCAGCTAGCAAAGGTTGAATATCTTCAGCCATGGCTTGGATCTGAGACATCACTACATCAAAGCCAAATATATGTACATGAGAACGTGCACACAAAGTAAATTGGAAACTCCCGAAAGGAGGAGTCCTCTTTTACCAACTTTCTTTCATTGCTTTTACATTAAAAACTAAAATTTTCACCTAAGTTTTTGCTGCTTCTCTAGAAAATAAATATTAATGGGCACTTCTATTATTAATATCTCTTTCTGTCTCTCCCCTCCACCTCACTCCTCTATCTAAAGATATCAACGACAGTTGCTGCACACTTGAAATTCAATAAGTTCATGTATTCATCATAATTTTGTTTTCCATCATAATTCAATAAGTTCATGTATTCATCATAATTTAGCCTTACTTGACCTTTATGCAAACTCTCAGAATATAAATAGAAATCAATCCAAATTCTTGCTTCATAACCTTGAATGAGAATTATAATAGAGTTACAACAAACATTTTCATTAGTGTGTCGAAAAAGGCCAGCTGATTTCAATAGATGCCTATAATTGAATTACTAGTTTTCCCTTTTGGGGGATTCCTCGGCAAATGCAAAAAGTGCCTTAAAAAATTCTGAAACATCTCGAATCTCGGAAACTCACATCAGTCAACAATATGGGCAGTTAACAAAAGATTCCACATAGTTTATTCTTTCACAAATAAGTCTTTCCATTTAACAAGAACCAGTTTGCTTATGCCGGTTTAGCTGACACAAACTAGTGGCTCTTTCAGCACGGGTAAAAAAACTTTATGGTTAATTTGAGAACAAAAACAAACATAACCACCTGCATATCCCGACCAAGAAAAGAAAAAAGAAACAGATAAAGAATTAAAGAAACAGCGTCAGAAGGGCACATTACACACCTTTGCGAGCAGAGGCTTTGCCTCTCCGATAACAGAAGCGACTTGTTGAGCCAGTGAATAAGTGTTGGCAATACCAATTGCCTCTACATCACGCCCGAGGCGAGTGAATATCCCTACCAATGCATCCAAGCTCACTCCTTGTTTTCCCTTCACCTTTTGCCTATCACACACAATTAGACCTTCTTTGACACATTCCGGGTCAAGAGGCCCCACTGAAGCATGTGGAATCGGGTCTCGCGGAGTAATGTCGATTATCGTTTCCATAAGAAGACCTGACTGGTTCACCTCAATCAGTGAATTTCTAGGTATGACTATTTTATCATCTTCAACCTGAAAAGAAAAGTTATACATCTTAACATAGCCAAAATCAAACAATGTCGATAATCGAACTTTCAATCGAATGAAAAGAACCTCAACAACTGCTTCAATGTTTTTCAAGGACGGGATTACGCGAACAACGTTGCCAACGGTCACGCCTCGAATCCTGACAGGCGTCCCATTCGCAATGCCACAAGCTTGAGAAAACTCAAACACAGCCAAGTACTTCCTGAATTTATGCCGCAATTGGAACCCCCTCAACCATGCCAAACTGAGAGCAAGAACAACCGCACCAGAAACTAGAAATAGCCCGACTCCGCCTTCCCAAATGCTCCTATGACCGAAACCAAAATCGCTCAACGGCCGCAATGTGCGCTTCCAAATAGTCCGCGGAACATCCAGGACCACCGCGAGTGGATTCCCCTTCTCCGAAGCGGGCCCACCAGCATCGCCGGAGGACGAAGCAGCGGTTATCGGAGCGATTTTTCTCCGTGATCTGAGCGGAAGAAGAGGCAAGGAATTCGATGAACTATGTGGGACGGAAGACAACGAGGAAGACAACACTGTTGGGGAAGTCGAAACCTGAGCCGTGGCGATGGATTTCCCGATCCCAAACATCTTTCTCGGCAAAACCCAAATCAGCAAAAGATGAAAAGATCAAAAGTTGCAGAACAATATTCAGATATCCCTATTATATCAAACTGGTTTTTACATCAAACATGGGCAGCAAAGTCTTCCGTCGATCCAACACATTATTATTAAACCCTGAATTACAATCCCCAAAAAAAAATTCGAAATTTCGAATGGTTTGGGAAAGAATCAAGTAGGGTTTACCTGGAGGGAATTGAGCTTTGAGGAATCGGAGAACTGAATCAAAGAGGGTCTCGGGCCTCTTTATGTGACATGTAATGAATTGAGAAAAGCAAAGCAACGAGGTTGTTTTTCGATTATACGATGATACGATGTAAATTTGGGAAGTGAGTTGAGGTGAACCTTGGACCGAAGGGCTAAATTAGTTGGGCCACATATTAAATGGGCTTTGCTTGTTGGGAAACTTACAGAGAAGAAAAGAGAAAATAAAACGGAAATAGTAGAAAATAGGCTATTATGAAACGCTTAAAAAAATATATAAGTAAATTTTTAATTATAAAAATTAATAGGTCATAATTTGTTAAATTATAGTTCATAACTAAATAAATTATAGATAAACTTGTCAAGTTATAATTCATAACTGGACAAGTTATGGACAAAAATGGACAATAACTTATCAAGTTATGGTTCATAATCATACAAGTTATGGATAAAAACAGTAATTTAGCCTATTTATTAATTTATGTA